CCACCACGGTTATGTTTTGTGTCATGGTTGTGTTAAACGGATGCTGCCTGTCTGGACATCAACACAGCCCAATCTTGCAGAGCTTCCAGGTTCTAAGTAGGTTGTACAACAAGAGGGGTTTGACTGCTTGATGGACAAATGTTCCGTTTCCTGAGTTACTGGTAAAATTATTTCAGTTGGCTTCCCTCCTTCTCTTCCATGGTTACTGTGGGGAGCTGGCGTGTCCCTGGACTTGCTTCAAATTGAAAAGAAAAACAAAATTAATAGTCCTCATTTTTCACAATTGCATCAATGGAAATACTAATCTGCTATGATGCACAGCAGAAAGCTGAAACTGTACCTCTGCTTTCTTGCAGATATTTGCTGTTCTATCACAAACAGTTCCTGGAGTATGAATAGCCTTATCCAGCAGCTTGTCAGATATAAACAAGGAAGAAAATAAGCAAGCCTTCTGAATCGACACACAAACCTACCTGAAATGAAAAGACCCATTAAAAAACAACTAGCACTGAGCTGTAACAGGACCTACTTGACACTGGCTCAAAGCCTGGCGGAGTAAGAAATGAACAATGTCCAACGTGTATGCAGTCCCGCAAGGACAGAAAGGGGGAAAAAGGAGGCTACAGTCAGTCACTTAACAGAGGAAATATAAAATGAAAGGAATGCTCTGGGTGGGGGAAATGGGAGCAGAGGAGTCCAGGCACTGGTACATCTCCTATGTTCCTCCAAAATGTGTGTGGGAAGGCAAGGGGGTGTACCCTCATCTCCATAAAGCATCTTCTCCATTGGTGCTTCAGCTCCAACGACCAATCATATAACAGTTAAAATTAAAAATCCAAGCCCATTTTTTATGCATATGGGTCTGAAAGCAGTAGAGTGGAGGAGGATGGGATGACACAACTAAAGGACTTTGCAAGTATCTTTTTATTTGTGAATTTTAGTTATTAAATAAATACAGTATGAAACTATTAGGCTCTTTTTTTTTCCAACAAATAAAAGAAATCCTGGATTGTGGAACTGAAGCTACAGTACAGACAGGTTTTCAAGCATGCCTGCTTGCACAGGTAATGTTCAATGCCATCGGACTGCTCGTCAAAAGCATCAGCACAGATTCTTTTCTGTTTTGAGCCCTTTTTTTGTTTTCTATAAATAGCTATTTTCTTAATTTTTTTTCCTTTATTCCCTTTTTTCACGAGAATGAGATTCATTAATGCAACCATCAGTAAAAATGAATGAATTGGCGTGTTTATACTGTAAGAGTGGTCTTGGTTCTTTTTTTAAATCTTGTGAATAAGTTCGAATTTCTCAGAATTGCTTGTTTTGTTGTTGCTGGTTTGGGTTGTTGTTTATTTTTTTCCCCCCTGTTGCCTTCCAAAGGCATATAGAGCTGATACTTGAAAGAACCTCGGTATTGAAAAATATACCATCTGTTAGAAACGGTTGCTGCTGGGGGCAGCATTGAGCGATAGATCTGCTGCTATTGAGCACTTCTGCAGTGCACTAGGTTTTTAAGTAAACAACACATTTTCCTGGTATGTGCTAGGCTGGTATTGGTTCCTTGTACCCTCCCACATGTATTAACTCCTCACATACTCTCCTTCTCTTTGCAGCCTCCGTATCCGTGTCCTTACCCTACAGCAGCTGGTGCACCAGCTTGCTTTTGCTTTGTCACAAACGCAGTTTTGTTCCCGTTTCTCTCCCTTCGTCGCTGTCTTTTAAAGCAGCTCGTTGGCCTGCCTGGATACCAGCAGTAGCTGCTCGTGTGCTCTGTCTTGCTCCCAGGAGGCTGGGCTGTGGATTGAATTGCAGCCCATGAGAGAAACCATTCAGAACACAGAGCTTAAAAGAGCAAAAAATAACTTTGCTCTCCCTTAAGGAGCCTGGAGAGAGCCATGTGTTGAGTTAGGCACTATGTAAACTGGCCTAAGGGCCACACCAAAAAGGTCACTGAGCTCTGGATGTGTACCCAAACAGCTGATCCTTGACTTCAACAGCACTTAAAAACATGGATGGGGCCTGTCTTTTAAATCAGTATTGCAGAAATAGGTACGGGCCATCTCTAACCTGTCTGAGAGACAGATAGAAAGCAGACTGTAATGACAGAAATGGGAGGAAAATAAGTGAAGCCTGGCTTTGTTTGTTTTTTAAATGAGCGTCTTACAAGAGATGCTACACAAAAGGGTGGTGGAATTGCATTTGATTTGTAGGCAAGCTGGAGAGTACAAGGTGGTTTTGTGCATCAGGAGATCTCCGTGACAGTTTGCAACTAGGAGGGAAGAAGAACCGACTAATTGAAGCTCCTTGAATACCAAATCAGACACAGAAAACGTACCGCACAGTGTGCGAGTTACCTAGGCAGCGCGGTTTCTGCAGAAGCGAGAGCGTACTCTGGTTTCATAACCTGTCTTTCCCTATCGTCATGCTTGAAATAATTTTCAGTTGTAATTGGGTACTGCAAAATTTAACCTGAGTGTTCTTGTCGCAAATGAAACGCTGCTGGAGAAATGCGGATGAATGGCACACCCTGCAGGAAAGGGTGGGGGGGGGCCCTCCTCTCCCTCCCGGAATTGGGCACAGCATCGTGCAGATGCTTGACAACGCTTTCTGCTACCTTTTAATAATGCAGCAAGCTTGCAGAGGAAGACGAGAATCAGCCTTTCATTATTCCCATGGCTGCTGCAGCCCGCGTCGCCGCCGCCTCGCCCCGATGCTGGAGGAGCAGTGCCACCGCGCGGCAGCTGGGCTGGTGCTGCGGGGCCGCCGCCGCTTTGTGATGCTGAGCTCGGAGCCTTTGGCTGCTGGTCTCCAGCTGGAGCCTGAACAAGTGAATTCTGTTCTCCGCCAGCACGCGCTTGGCCACCGGAGCTAACGCGGTCTGTTTTGTTAATCCTTCAGCAATGAACTGTTTAGGGACAAGGCCAGCCACATAAATCAGCCTTATTTATTTTCTTTCCCCCCCCCTCCACACACACACACACCCCTCTCGAGCTGGTGAAGAGGGCTGCGCTCTGTGCAACTGCACCAGCACGGCTGGTTTTCAGTGGGAGACGGAGAGCAAGGCAGATTTCAGTGCTTTAGTTTGGGCTTTTAAAGCAGAATTCCTGGTGTATTAAAAGCTCTTCTTCTCCCTAAATTATACCAGGCAGGTTTCTATTTCCAGCAACAGTAAATCAGCACAGGTTGATAGAGAAGCAGAGAACACTTTCCCTCTCCCTATAAAAATGGAAGGACAGCTGCTCTCACACAAACAGCGCTGCCCCTCGTTATGTTTTTCCCCAAACGCAGCCCTTCTCTTTCCCTTCATCTGCCGAGGAGCTCAGGCACGAGGTTTATTCCCTGCAGAGCTGGGAGGCTGCTCTTTGCAGAACTCAGCGTCACCTTCAGGAAGATGCAGAAGTCCTCGCAGAGCAGTGAGACGCTGACGAAGGACTGATGGAGTTGTGCCTCCCTGGTGTGCTAGCAGACGGCAGCGAGAGGCAATTGCTGCAGTGCTTCAGCTGCTGACCCTGCTCGTGCCGGGGAGCAGTTTGGGGCTGACGGGTTTATTTTGAAGCATGATTTTTTATTGGCGCGGCTTGCTCTGTTACAGGGAAGCATCGGGAAGAAATGACTGAAACCAAAGCCTGGTACCAGGATGCGGGTTGGTACCAGGAGCGTACCCTGGGGTTGTACACCAGCGCCGAACTGCGTGCAGCACAAAACCAGCCCGAAGGTGGCTGTCGGTGTCGTACCTTCTCATCGCAGCCCCTGGACTGGGGAGAAAGCTTTGGTTGAGGCTGGTGCCTAATGAAAACCTGAGCAAAAGCAGGAAAGTTGGAAGCAGCTTAAGCCCCCCTGTGGATGCTCGGGCTTGAAGTCAGTGCCCTTAATTACCGAAAGTATTTGTCCCAGGTAGTGACTGCTATTCAGAGGGATCTCTCTAAGCATGCTCTGTCAGAGCTGTTGGCCAGTGACTTCAAATGTGATAGCAAACCCGCTGATTTCTCTTAATTCCCCAGCACATATCTTGGAGCCTGTGTGTTACTGCTGATCTGACCTCTGTGACGCTCAGTGTTACCTTTTCTTCTCCGTGCTGATAACAGTATTTACCTTCCCAGAAGGAGAGGAGACCACGCCTGACTGAACCGAACGCTCCCCTCTCGCTTATCAGGGCTCGAAGGAGGGACCTGGCGTCTGATGGGTGTTTTCCCCCAGTTTCTAGGACCCAAACTGCAGGGTGCTGCTTCCCCTGTGTATTGCAGCGAGTATTTTAGGAGACCAGGGAGCACTTGCCAGCAGTAAGCAGCAGCCGGGGCTGCATGGAGGCGAGGGGGACAGCCCCAGCCCCACACGGGCTCTGCCCCCCATGGGCAGCCAGAGCCAGGCAGGGTGAGCTCTTGTGGCAGCTCGCATAAAAGCTTTCCTAAAGCCTTGGTTTGAATAATTGATGCTTCCTCAGCCTCGAGAGATGCTCTAATTGCAAAACTGGTTCGCGTGTTCAGGTTTATTGTTTGTTTGTTTTAAATCGGGTGCTGGCTCCTCACACAAGCAGTGTGGGAGGGTTCCCGTTACATGGTAGGTACCTGTCCCCTGAGGTGACACCTGAGCAGGGCTGAAGCTGCCTGTCCCCTCGGTGTTGGGGTCAGGCAGTGCGAGGTGACACTGCGCCTGCTCACAGGTGTCCTCCTGGAGTCCCCGGCCTTGCTGGGAAGTGTTTGGGGTGGTGGGGACATGGGGTAGGTGGAAATGTGCAGGAGCTGCCCCATGGTGAGTGCAAAGCCCCTTCATCGGCCGAGCCTGAGAGGGGGAGGCTCTGGGAGACAAAATCAAGGAAAGGAAAAGAAAGCCTGGAGAGAGGGAGGAGGATGAGAGGGTGGGGAGCCTCACATGGCCTCAGATACCATGGCCTGTGCTTTACTATCACCAGTTCATGCATCTGTTGCCCCTTCCCCGTGTATTCTCTCAAGTTTAAAGGCCTAGTCTGAGAAACTTTTGGTAATGATCTCCTATCAGGAGGGATTTTTCACCAAGCAAAACATTCCTACGCTCTCCTTTAATGAGAATGAGAGAACTTGACGTTACATGTTGAAACTCACATTTTTCCATAGTAGCTTTCAAATACAGGTCAGACAAAAACCTTTCCTCAAATCAGCCACGCCACAGCCCGGCACTTTTACCAGCTGTTTCAGGTAATCCAGACCAGGAGTACATCAAAGCATCAAGTCTTCCAGAAAGTTCTCAGCTTTGGATGATTTTTCACATCTAAACCCAGTCCCGTCGGTGATTTTGGTGCCTCCGGAGCAATTTGTGCACTACCGTATCCAGTCAAAAGGCAAAGCCTCACCGCCCCGTGTCCTTTCCTCCCCTCAAAGCAGTGTTGAAAGCTGCCTGTGGAGCTCATGTACTGTGAATACTCTTGCTGTAAAAGAACTTTGTTGAAGTCAGAAAACGTGCCCCACCTAGGAGCATGGCAGTGGCACTCGATGGTCATCATGTCTGTGTGGAACATCCTGGGAGGCTGGAGTAGGCCAGGCCGCAGCTTTGTCTGAAAGGCCCGAGATGCTTTAAAACACTTCAAACTGATTCTTTGGAAAACTCCCCATAGTCCTGAGGAGAGGAGACCTCTTGGTGAAGGAGGCAGGCACCCAGGGGCGATGGATCGAGGTCAGGCTGCTGTCACACCTGGCGAATTCTCGAGATGGCAGCCTGGCACCACCACTTCATCTGCTTTCTGTCCATCGAGTGCGTCCCACATGAGCACAGCTCTGCTCGGAAGCCACTTGTGGTGCAAGGCAGAGTTTTAAAATGGGGAAAGGCGGGGGCCTGGCGCTTGCCACAGGCTGCTCCTGGCCAGGCATCGGCACACTTCGTAGACGCAAAGTGATGCTGATGAGGGAACCAGGCTGAGAAGCCCACACGGGCCTCCGGTCCCAAGGGCCAGGAAGCATGGAGGTGTCTGTGGAGGTCAGGTTGGAGCATGGAGGCACAGGCTGAACGGGGAGCAACATCCATCACTGGAACAAGGAGAGTTTGGGTTTCCAAGAAGAGAAAGGCACTGTCCGTGACCCACAGCCCCTGAGCTGTGTCCACCTGCCCTGGCAGGAGCTGGGGCTTGGGATCAGAGGGAGAAGCAGCTGTGTTTTGGGGGCAGGAGGGACAGCCCTCCTTTCTGAGCCCGTGCAGGAGTGTTCACCGCGGTCACGCCATGGGCGTCTTCTCTTGCGAAGGAGAGCAAATGATCTTAAAATGGCCGTCGTCAGGGCTGGGAATCGCCCCGGCACTTCCCGTGCTGCACACCCTGCTGTGAGCGGCCGCAGCCCTCTCCCCCGGGGGGCAGGAGGGGCTGTGGTGCCCTTTGCTCTCCTGTACAGCCGAGCCGTGTCCGGGGAAGCAGAAGCCGCAGGTTTCCACTGGCTCAGGGGACCTTGCTGCCGGTGGATCCATCACCAACGCTGCCCGCTTCCACCAGGCGATCTGCAAATGAACTTTGTGGGTTAGCCTGAGGTGTTGAGGAGCAGCTTTTACCCAGGAAAGGCTCTGCAGTGCTGCCCTGAGGCCTGCAGGGAGGCAGTGCTGGAGCCCCCCTCCCACCATGTCATGCCCCCATGTCATGCCCGCAGCGTGGCCTGCAGCACACAGCCCGTCCTGTGAATGGGGCAGTGCCTCGAGCAGGCAGGCCGGAGCTTTAGCACTGAAGTAATTTTAATATTTATAGCACCGCGTGTAAATTGTCTTGTCATGAAGTGCTCGTTTTGTAGCAGACATGAATGAAACGGTGCGGCGCCGTGCAAGGTGCAGGGGCTGCAGCAGGGCAGGCTGAAGGGCCACGTAATGCTCTGTGGGCTGTCAGAGGGCTCTGCTCCATCAGCTGAGGTCTGATAAGCACGGCTAGGCCGGGGCTACGAAGAAGCATGCAGTAAATCGCTTTGAACCTGTCAGCCTCCCTCAGAAGCCAGCGCCCAGTGCCAGTGTCCTGGGACGGAGCCAACAGTGCCTCAAATTGCAGCGCTGCTGGGGACTGAGCCCAGCTGGAGCAGCGCCTCAGTGTGCTCTTCCTGATTTTCCTCATCCAGCTCTGAAGTTCAGGTACGTAAACTAATGTCTGTCTACTATAAATAAGTATAGTATATATATATATATATTTTAAGAGAAGGCAGGGGAGAACAGGAGGGGGGAAAGTCAACAGCATCTTTTCTATGTTGCTTTACTCCCCGTTATCCTTTCCCTAGCTTTTCTTCCTACACCAAAGACTTGTGAAGCCCCCCTGGCTCCAAGGCCAAAACTTTGGGCTTTGATGCTATGCTGCAAGGCAATTCAGCTGCTGGGCTGGGACATTTCAAGGCAGCAAACTCGTGTGACGTGGTCCTGGCCAGGTAGCCGTCAGCCCCAGAGCAGCCCCGAGTGAATAAACCCAGAGCTGTAATTGCTGTGAAAGCCCCAGATCTTCACAAAGGTGGATTTTGGGGGAAACCAAAGGAAACAGCCACAAAGGTGGCTCCTTGGGAAAACGGGTTGGCTTTTTGCTGTTCCTCCTCATGCTTTGGGGAATCGCTGGTGGGCAGCACAGCTCGCACCCTCTGTCCAGCCCAGCGTGAGTGCCCGAGAAGGGCGATAGGGGAGGAATTGGGGCACAGGGCCCTGGTCCTGCTCTCTTCAGGCTCAGCCTGGGCTGTGCAGCACCTCACTGGCAGAACCCAGGTGCCAGCCACCCCCAGCTCCCCGTCCCCTCCCGGTGCCCCCAGCACTCACCCTTGGAGGAATCCTCCCTGCGGTGGCAGGTCCCGGTGCCGGCCTGGCAGGATCCCACCTCTCCTTTCCTCCTCAGGTGCGTCCAGCCCAGGACGAGGGAGCAGATGAGGGCGCAGAGGCAGAGCCCCAGCAGCAGGTACACCACCAGCCACGGCTCCTGCTCCGCGCACGCCTTCTGCTCCAGCGCGGCCGCGGGAGGCAGCGCCGTGACCAGGGCGGCCGGCGGAGGGGGGGTGGTGGCCAGGGCACCTGCTGGGGGCCAGGCAGAGAGAAAGGAGAGCTTAGACCCCCCCCGGCACACAGCTCACCCTTGTTGACTTTTTGATAGGGGCAGGGTGCTGCTAAGGGCACTCATGTGCTCCGCTTGGGAAGGAGCTGAAAGCAGCACTGCAGCTCCTCCGTTTGGTTGTTTTTTTATGGCTAATGGAGGAGATCTGCCCTCCCTCCCCATTTCTCCAGCACCCACATCTCAACCCCAAGCTGGGACTGGTTGATCTGAGGCAAAAAGAGCCCATCCCTTCCCTCACCCCCTCCCCAAGGCCGTGCACCAAGCCCTGGGATCAGAGAGCAGGGTTTGCTGCCTCTTCCCTAGCTTCCACCCCATAACCCAGCTCCTCTTTTAGCCCAGCCCCATGTGGGACCCTGCCCCACAGCCCCCCGCTCCCCCTGCCCTCACACACAGCCTTACATCCGCAGGAGGGGTCGCACTGCTTGGGGTGCTGCCCGCAGACCGTGGCGCAGTTGATGCATTTTTTCAGGAGCTTGTCGTAGTAGAAGCCGGCTTTCCTGTTGCAAACCATGGACTCTGTGGGAAGGCAGGGAAAGGAACGGGGCTCGTCCTGAGCCACGTCCTTGACCTGAGCACGTCCTTCTGCCCGCACGGCTCCTCCTGCCTCCCCGTCACCTGAGCAGGAGGCTCCCAGCCTGGGGCCCTCCCTGCTGGGGTTCACGCGGGGACGAGCCCACGGCCGCTTGGAACAAGTGCACAGCTCCCATGGGTGCAGGGTGAGGATCTGTTTGATGCTGTTGGAAGCGCTGAAAACATCTCTGGGGCTGGCAGGTGGAGGTTTTCAGCCAGATGATGAATATTGGGGAAGGGGACGGGGTGCAGCCGTGCCTGCCCATGGCAGCGAGCTCCTGGTGCTGCTCTTACAGCTCCCGGCCTCTGGGGCTTGCGTGGCTTTTTGGGGCACATCAAAACCTGCCTGAGCATGGGCTTGGGGCCGTGGGGACAGCATCTCCCACCCTCAGCCCCCTTGGAGATGTGACACCTCGCTGTGTGCAGGCTTTAGCTGCTGCTGCGCCTCTGCTCAGCAGCACCCAGCCTCGGTGCCTGCCACAGCACGGGGCTCACATTCTGCTTGAGGTTGTCATTACCCACATTAGCAGGGCCTGATATGTCCCTCCCTGAGGGCAGGGCTGCCACAGATGAGGCCTAACTCTATTAATACAGCTCCGGGAAGGCTCCCTAGGATCCCAGGAAGGAGCAGTGCAGAGGTGTGGACAACTTGATCCCGGTCAATGCAGTCACATCCCTCGGTGCTTTGGGCTTGAAGGTAAGCCGAGCTGTCCCAGAGCCTGCCCCGTGGGTCCTCCCAGAGCTCCCAGAGCCTTTCCCCACTCACCACACAGGGCAGCACACCTCCTCACCGCGGACCGGCCGCATATGAGGCTGCAGGGGATGCACTGGCAGACGAGGGCGTCCCAGTACTGCTGGTCGGTGCAGTTGTTCATGGCATCACAGCCCAGGGGCGTCCCATCCATGGCTGCAGAACGGGAGGAAAGCGGCTATGGGGCAGGTGGTGCTGCCGGGGACCCTGCCCTGGGGACCCCCATGCAGGGGGACGCCCGCTGTGCCTCAGGCTTGGGTTAAAAGCATGCAGAAAAATCAGCTTCAGGCTTAGCAAGCACTTCAGCACAGGACGTCCTCATGGGGGTTATGATCTGGGCCCCGGGGACACGCAGGGTGAGCACCCTGGTCCTCTGCCTGGCCCCTCGCTGTGCCCCGAGGGCGTGGGGATGTGTGAAACTGCCTGCAGCAATAAGGGCAGGGACCTGCTCCTGCCTTTACATCTTTTACCAAAAGGAACAGAAACGCAACCAGAATGACTGCTAGCACCATCTTCTGAAACGATTTGTAAATCTGGAAACTTCTGAGCTCCCCTGTGGCCGAGGGGCAGTTTCTGCCATGCTGTGTGTAATTTCTGACGTCTCTGTTTGGCGTCCTGGCATCATCCCGAAAGCAGGTTTTGATGTGTCACACTCCCCTAGGCAGCAGAAGGAGAGAGGCCTCTCTGGGAGAGCTTTAAGCACCGCTTCCACCAGCACCAGCTGGGACACATGGCACTGGAAGGGATTTTGTCCCCACAAGGAGCCATTCGTCCCATCCTACGTGGCCGCGATGTGCCCCATACCCCTGGGCTGGGGAGAGGGAAGGGGTTTGATGAGGGAGGGGCAGGAGCAAGGCATCGCTTGGAGCCCTGAGCAGCAGCAAAGTCCCGAACAAATTAAAATTTAAAATTTTAGCTTGCTAAAAAGCATTTAGTTGTTAGCAGCCCTTTGCTGACCGAGAGGCTCGTGGGCGACCGCATCCCTCTGCGGAGCGCAGCTGTTTCCTGTGCGGGCGGCCGGTGCCGGTGCCAAGGGGCCCGAAACAATTAAAAACCATCACTGCCCGGCACGGCGCCAGCCTCCACGTGCCTGGAAGCCGCCTCTGGCCTCGGCTGGGGCTGCTGTGATGCTGCCTTTTGAAGCCCAACTCTGATTTTGGTATAGAAATGCCCCTGCGCTCTGATGGGGATCTGTCTCTGTGCCTCTCGTCCTTGGGGGCGCACAGCAATTGGGGGTTTTGTGTGTCGGTCTGTCTGTCCTGCTGCTGCCCAGAGCAGAAATGTCCCTGCCGAGGGGCTGAGAACAGGCTTCCAGCTCTGGCTGTGAGCTGGATCCCAGCCGGGGCAGCGTGGGTGAAGCCCTCCCAGCCTCACAAAGTAAAGGATAAATCCGCTCTGCGCAGGGCTGCGGCCCTTCTAGCCCTGCTGCTCAATTAACGCCGCTATGAAATTAAACAATTCCTTTCTCTCGAGCTGGCTGAAGAGGATCCCTGGGGCACAGCGAGGCTCAGACCCATGCTCTCCTCCAATGCTTTTTGGAGACTTTTTGTCCCCAAAGAGAAGACCCCCAGGCAGGGGGGCTCTTTATTTTTTAAGCAAAATTGCTGCCTGGTGGCTGAGCTCCCTGCCCGGGATGCCCCACCACAGCACCCAAACTCCTGAAACCTCCACCCAAAGCGAAGCGACCATTTCATCCCCAAGGAGCCCCTCTGCTCCCTGCCAGCTCTCTGGAAACGTCCCCGCAGCCCCGGCACAAGCAAACCCCTCGCCCCCAGCCCCCTTGCAGCCCCTCCGCGGGCACAACTCACGCTTGGCTCTGGCACGGGGGCTACTCCTCCTCGGCTCCTGCCATCGCACTGCGCGCTCCGAGCCCGCGCATTGCTGGGGAGGTTTATTATTAGAGGTAGATTTGATTAATGCCTGGGCCATGCGTTTCCTGGGGCTTCCCCTTATCCCTCCGATGCAAATCGGCCGCTCGCAGCGCGCTGCATTGGTTCCAGGGCTGCCGGGGGAGCGGGGGGCATGCGGGGAGGGGATGTGCCGGTCCTGGTGGCCACGTTGCAGCAGGGAGAGCTCCCAGCTGGGTGTCTGGCTCTGCAGCACCTGCCCTTTCATCACCCACCACCAGCAGGAGGTTTTCTTCTGCAGAGAAAGCAGCTGCCCTGGGGCAGGAAAGGGTCACTTTTTTTTTCCCAGCTTTGCCAGGAAAAGGAGCAGCTCTGGTGTGGGCACCGCAGGTCACAGCCGGGCTCGGTGCTGCTGGCAGTGGGTGCAGGAAGCCTCAACAACACAGCCCGGGTGGCACGGGGCAAAGGGCCACCACTGCGCTGCTGGCAGCCTCCAGGGATGCAGCTATACAGTTATTTTTAGGGCTCACCTCACCCCGAAAACGGGGCTTTGGGCAGCAGAGCAGGGAAGGAGCAGAGCCGCGGGGCCCCTCGCCGAGCTGGCACGGGAGGGAGCGGGCTGCTGGCACCAAGCCCCAGCCCCGTGTCCCCACAGCGACCCGTGGCACCTCAAAATACAGCAAACCAGACTGGGCAGCTACTGGTTTTGCCCCTTTTCCCCTGGTGCATTCCCTCCTGGTGGTTTTTCCCCCTTATCCACGCGGCCGGGAAGGTGCGAGGGCACCACGAGTGCGGTGGGACGGTGACTCAGCTCAGCCCCGGGGACGTTTTCTGCAGAAGCAGCCGGAGGGGGAAGGAAGAAGCAATGCCTGAGACTTTCTATAAACATCAGCAGGGCAGTGTCAAGGTTTTTCCGCTCAGTTAAAAAAACTCCAGCTCCAGCTCTGTACTCGCCACGGTGTCACTCTGTCACTCACCCCACCATGGCAGCCCCAGGGGGAAGCAGAGCCCAGGGCTTGTTTGCCTGCAGGACGAAGGAAATCGTGATTTTTGGGGTCTGCCTGCAGTGCTCGAGCACGGTGCGACGAGGGCCTGGAGCTATGGCCCCAGCCCTGCCCGCCGGCTCTCGGGGTTTTGCAGGGGAAACCTGCCCCCGTAAATAGCAGCGGGGGACTTGCAGTTTCCACCCTCCCGTGCCCTCAAGAGGGAAGTGAGAAGCACTTTGGGGGCGGTTTGTCCCTCCTCGCTGAGCAGAGACCAAGCCCTGTGAGCTCAGCTCTAAAATCCTCCGGGGGTGCTGCGGCTGCGCCCCCGTCACCCGGCCGGGCACCGCGAGTGCCCCGAGTGGCATCGCACCTCCGAGGATGCCGCGTGGCTCTGAAGGGCCTCCAAATGCAGTCCCCCTGCCTGCTGCTTTCTGGCCACGGGTGCTTTGCCCCTCTCCTGGCTTAAATCCTGCCCTTGCTGTGTGGTGCTGGAGGGAGAGCATCCTACGGCCGCTCCCCATGCGCCCTCCCAGTGTGGCTCCGGGTCCTTCGGCACCCACCTGCAGACGGCTCCAGCAGTGCCCGGGTCCATTTTGGGGGCTTGGAGCCCAGTTTTGTCTCACCAAAAAAATGGTTTTATTCCTCCGGGCTCGTGCCCCAGTGCTGCTGCTGCAAGGAGCACGGGCACGCAGCGTGAGCAGCGTTCGGCTCCCAGCCTTTTTGGGGCAGCTTCGCCTTCCCGCTGGTGCTCGCAGCAGCTTTCCCGGGATATTTTCCTTCCAGCCCGCTCTCGGCCCCCTTTCTGATTTGTGAAACCTCAGCCAAGGCATTTGCTTGCACGTGTGCTCCCTTTGGGACCCCAAAAGAGGGGCCGTGAGGGGGGGGAAGGGGAAGAGGAGCCGTTTTGGGTTGAAACCGTGAGGCCGAGCTGAGCACAGCTGGCTGCTGGGGACTCATTTCTCTCACCCTAATTCCCCGTGGACGCCTGATCTCGAGCGTGCTGGGGTCGGGATGCACCCAATGACCCCCGCTGCCCGACCATCATGCGTCCCACCTGCCTCCTGCCGTGCCTCGCAGCAGCTGCTCTGTGATTGAATCCCCCAATTTTGGGGTACGGGCAAGCCCAGCGGCAGAGCTGCACCCATCCCATCCCTATAGAATAAAATAAAATAAAATAATAAAATAAAATAAAATAAAATAAAATAAAATAAAATAAAATAAAATAAAATAAAATAAAATATAAAATATAAAATAAAATATAGAATAAAATAAAATATAAAATAAAAATAAAATAAATTTGCCACCAGGGCTTGTGCCCATGTCCCCGGGATGCCACCGCCAGCGAGTGCCAGCCCCCTGCTGCCACCCCCGGCTGGGCACAACCGGAAGCCGAGGGGGGGGGCAAAATTTAGGGCCGGGGGGGGCACAACCGAGGGATGCGGCCCCCTCTGCCCCATTTCTGCTGCCGGGGGGGGGGCAGAGAAGCAGGGCCCGGCTTTTCGTGGCTCTGCCCAGGAGGTGGCAGCCTCGGCTCGCCCAGCCCTGCTGGGTGCTGGGTGCTGGGTGCTGGGGGCTCTGCTTGCAGCCCACCCCCCCTCCAGCTCCTGCCCTGCCTGGATAGGGGCTCGGCAGCACCTGGGCATCCTTTTTCACCAGCCCCCCACACAATTTGGGGTTCGGACAGCCCCTGACCAGCCCATGTTGCTCTGTTCCCTGCCTTGGGGCATTGCCTCAAGGGTGCTCAGCACCCATCGGGGTGCCAGGCACTGCTGCAGCCCCCATGCTGCAGGGGGGTCTGGGGGTGTCTGGTGGCTGGGCAAAGGTGCCAAAAAGCCGCCTTGCCCAAAGCCGGTGTGGATCAGGGAAGGAAAATGTTGTGCAAACCAGGCTGTGCTCGAGGCCAGCACCCCAAATCCGGCACCTGCTGGGGCGCAGGGCTGGCACCGAGAGTAAAACACCACCAGAGCCTGCCACGGGGAGGGAGAGGACGGCGTCGGTGCGTGGGGGAAGCAGATAGGGGAGATGAGTCAAAGAACAACCTTCGGACGGAGCAGCTGATGTGAAAAACGCAGGATTTTCACCATCACCACCTCCGACATCGCCCCTGCTCCAGATTACGCACGGCGCTCGCTCCTGGCCCGGGCTCTCCCGCTGCCAACCTGCTCCACCAAGGCTGGATCTTCACGGGGACCACAACCCGGGGCTGTTTTTTGTCAGGCCGAGGGATTTTTTCTCTTGGGACCCTTGCAGGACCAGGCTTGCAGGCTGCCGGAGGAGCCGCGCTGTTAATTTTTAGCGCTGCGAACCCCTGGGGAAATTCCAGCGGGCTGGAGGGCGGCCAGTGGGAGTCTAAACGTGTAAAAAGGGGATAAAAGGGCTGACCCTGGGAATTAGAGACCAGGTAGGCTGATGGCAGTCCCTGGGCAAATTATGGGCTGGGTAATTGGGGATCCTGTCAGCCAAAAATTAGAAGCTAAAAATATAATTAAGGTCGTTAGCTCGGTTTCATGGATGGCAGCTCCTGTCAAGTGAGTCGGCTCTGCTTTTTTGGCATCACTCTGGGCTGGCTGATAAAGCTAATTGCGTTGCTGCGTTATAATGGGTTTCTCCCGAGTATTTAATTTACAGCCGGGCGACGTGGCCATTTGTAAAACCTGCATTATGTGGAGTCACCGGAGCAGACACCCGACGGCTGCGGCGGCGAGGGGCTGGCGATGGAGGCACCCAGCCTTGTGCCGTGCTGGGGCTGGCGGCGGGCAGGAGGGTGGGGGGACATAGGGGGGGACCTCACGGGGTGATCCCAGCCAGACAAGGCTGGGGGAGGCACACGTGGGAACAAAAGGGCCGGATTTTTCCCCCTCCCCTAAAGCGCAGCGAGGTCTGATGGCAGGAAGCAGCCCTGATGGCTCGGCTGGGAGCGCAATTAACATTTGGCCCAATTTTAGCAGGGTATGAACTCGCAGGCATGGGAGGCTGCGGGTGAGAGGAAATCTCTGCTTGGTGGGACAGGATTTAGGGCAGCTCCTGGGGCTAGCTCAGGCGTGTGTGTGTGTGTGTGTGTGTGTGAGCACCCAGTGAAGCAGAGGGCTGTCCCGGACCCTCTGCGGGATCTTTCCCAGCTGCTCCCTCCTCTCTGGGCTGCAGTGGCGTTTCTTCCAGAGGGTGATTTGGGTCTTTTTGGGGCATCAAGATGGCACTGGGGCAGCCCAGGGGGTCTCCTCTCTCCATCAGGCGGTTTGTCTGCCCCATATTTCTAACCTATAGGTTCGCCCTCGACATCAGAAGCATTAGGGCATGGGGACACCCGAGCCCCTGGCCCCATCCAGCCCCCCATAGCTGGGCAGGAGCAGGGGAACCCCATGCCCTGTTTGGCACGGGGCAGGAGAAGGGAAACCCTCGCAGGCGCCAGCCGGTCCCAGCTTAGATCCAGCAGGGATCCCAGAGCTTTAAACACCAAATCCTCCCCTCTCCCCTGGGCATCCGTCCGTCTGGCTCCAGCGTAATGACGGCAAGGTGGAGGCACAGGGAGACGAAACGACTCGCCCGAGGTCACGCGAGGAGCGATGGCCACGCAGGGGGAGCACCCAGGCGTCCTCCTCCTGCCCCGGCAGCGCCCGGCCCTGCAGGAAGAAACATCCCATAAAAGTTTTCCTACAAAACAGGGTGGCTCCTGGGGTCCTGTGTGGCACAGCCACACATCCCATGTCCCCATCCTGGTGATGTCCTCACGGGTGGAGGTGGCTGCTTGTGGGGAGCACGCGATGGGAAGTGGGTGCTGCTTTGTGGCGGGGGTTTTGGTGCCACCAAACCCTTTTTGTGGGGCAGGAGGGGTCGGTGGTGCCCTTCCCGTGCTGGGGCCGGTGCAGCCAGCCCCGGTGACTAACACCTCCTGGTTTTCAGCTTGTTTACCTGGCGCTGGGGCTTCGCTTGGGATCGCTGACTCACCGCAGCACCTTCCCCTTGTGCCACCGCAGCTCCCTGACGAATACTTTCCATTTTCCCATTCCTTTAATTGCCCTACTTGGAGAAAACTGCTCCGGACCGGCTCTGGGCTGCTACGCACAGCCGGGCATCCCCGCAGCGGGGGCGTTGGGGACGGGATGGGGGGGCTGCCCATCACAGCAGCATGCACGGGAGCACTCGGTGCCTCCGGCCGTGCCGGGACCTGCCGGCACGGGGGGGCACGTGCAAGGAGTCGAGTTTTTTGGCAGCCCCGCTCGCTGCGCCCATCCACGGCAGCAGGCGGGCGGCCGGCGGCAGCGCACGGACGCTGGCTCCTGCCTGGCTGAATGCAGCTCGACAGGTTTATGGAGAGGCTCGTCCCGTTCGGCTGGATTTTTGGGAAGGCTGGAGCCAGCCCCGGCACCAGCCGCTTCCCCGCGAGTGCTGCCGGCCCCGGCGCCAGGTCGCGGCCCCGAGCCGTGGCACCACTCGGGGAGGGGATGCTGGCACCGTGGCTGTGCCCAGCGTGTTGGGGCAGCACCCTTGGGCATCCAGGGAAGGGACACAGACCCCGCAGAGTCCCCTGAGCATCATTTGGGGGTGCAGAGGTCCCCCTGTGCTCCTCTCCCCCAGCCCCGTAGCCAAAAGTCTCCGGGGAGCATTGCCATGGCTGTGCTGGGGGTCGCGCCGCTGGTCTGGGAGGTGCTGGGGAATAATTCAGCAACAACAAGGGGGGGGACAGGGAAAGGGGGAATTGGGGCAGGAAAATGAAATCCAAAAGGGTGTCCTGTGGTCATGTGGATGGTGGGTGTTGGGTCCACAGTGATGGCATCAGGGACTGCAAATCCCCAAAGAGAAACCCCCGCCGTGCCTGGAGGAGGGCCGCCTCGCTTTTAGGGCTTTAGGGTCAAGGGAAAGGTGAGAAACCCACCCCAAAGCAGCAAGGCACAGGGCTGGGAGCTGGGAGCATCACATGAATGGGGCTAATCGCGTGGGCGATATGGGGCTGGGGGGCACACGGCGGTGCCACCGCTCCCCATGGGCAACCCCAAACCTTCCCCGTCCCGTCCCCACCGCGGCACGTCGCGCCGTGCGTGCTCCGAGTGGCAGGAGGGCTGAGGGATGATTAAAGAGGCCTTTGATGAAGGCAAAAAAATTAATAAACAAGCTCGCAACCCTGCCGGCCTCTATTTACCGGCGGGTGCCGGCGCGGCGAGGCTGCCGAGGCCTGGTGCCACATCAAACGCTGGGGCAGCGCCTGGCCGAGGGGACGGCGGCCTCGCCTCCCATGGGGTTTTTTTCCTGGTCCTTATGAGGCCGTGAGGAGGTTGGCGGGGCCGATCCTAAAAGCAGGGCCCCGTCCGGTGCCGGCGGGGCCTGTGGGGGCCATCCTGAGGCACACACGGATCGGGGTGTGGTGTGGAGGTGTCCGCTTGACACGCTCACCCCGTCAGCCTTGTGGGGTTGGCGTTGCCACAGTCTCCATCCCTCATGGTGCCCCCCCCAGCATGCCCGGTGTCCCCAAGTGTCCCTGCTGGCCCCCCGGGATCAAGGCCAGCACCCAACCATGGCACCCATGGGTCCCTCGGCCTCCCCCTTATCGCCCTGCCGGTTCCTTATTGCCCTGCTGGGCAAACAGGAGCTCCCCACGGGCCCCAGGGTGGTGGCACGGGGCGGGGGGGGCACCCCTGTCCCTGCTTGTCCCTGTTTGTCCCCCCACCCATGGGGCCAAGCGGGTGGGGACCCCTCTGCAGTGCCCACCTGGATGGGGTCGGGGTTACCGGGGTGGTGTTTTTGCTGTGGAGGGTGGCATCCTGGGGGCTGGGGTGTGCCCCCCCCCACAATTTGGGAGGGTATTTTGGGGGGGCAGCCCCTTGCTGCTTGCATTTCATGGCTGGGGGGGGGGCTGGGCTGTGCATAAGGGCTGTATGGGGGGGGTCCCAATGCATGGAACGGTGCTGGGGGGGGCTGTGCAATGCTGGGGGGGGCTTGTGCATGGTGGGAGGGGGGTCGTGTATGGTACGGGGGGGGTCGTGCATGCATGTTGGGGGGATCGTGTATGGTATGTGGGGGTGTCATATGGTATGGGGGGGTAGTGATATAGTGTGGGGGGGTCTTGCATGGTGGGAGGAGGTTGTGTATGGTATGGGGGGGGTCCTGTATGGTATAGGGGAATTGTGCATGATATTGGGGGGGGGGTCCGTGCATGGTATGGGGGGGTTGTGCATGGTACGGGGGGGTCGTGTGTTGTATGGGGGGGTCGTACATGGTGTGGGGGACCTCTGTGCACGCCGGGGGGGCTGTGCACGGTGTGGGTGCTTTGCACGGTGCCTGGGGGGCCACGCACGGAGCTGGGGGGGCCCAGCCCAGCGCCCCCCCCCCCACAAACCCCCGCCCCCAGCCTTCAGCACCGCCCGCCGCGCGCCCTCCCTTCTCCTTGCACCCCATTGGCCGCAGCGCCCTATTGTCACCAACCTCCTCCCACCACCATTGGCTGCAAGCGCACGTCAATCTCCACCCACTCCCCGCCCCTCCCTCCGGCCCGCCCGGGCGCTTCGCAGCCCGCGCCCCCAGGCCACGCCCACCTCCCCCTAAGCCACGCCCACCTCCCCTTTAGGCCCCGCCCCCTCAATCCCCGCCCCGCGGGCGGGGGCTGTGCGGCCGTGCGCGCTCCTGCTGCGCGCTCCCGCCCCGCGGTGCTGCGCGCTGCCCGCCGAGGGGGCGGCCGCCGCGCCTCGCTCCCGTTTTTCCGCCGATTTATTTATTTTCCCGATCGTTTTTCATTTTTTTGCGATTTCCATTTTCGGGGGACAATTTCTCATTTTTCTTTTTTTTATTTTTTTTTTTCCGTTTCTTTTTTTTATTTTTTTTTCCTTTTTTTGGCCTTTTTTTTTTTTTTGCATTTTTTTTTAAACTCCCCCCAAATTCTTTTTGGCTCCCCCCCCCCAAAAAATAATATAAATCCGGCCATGGGCTCGGTGCTGGCAGCAGTGCCCTGGGGGCAGGCCGGAGGGGGGGCGCTGATTTAAGGGGGTTTTTGGGGGGGGGGGGTCGGGGGCGCGCAGAGCTGGGGGGGGGGGGGGCGCGCGCACCATGGCCGCCAAGGACAACCCGTGCAGGAAGTTCCAGGCCAACATCTTCAACAAGAGCAAGTGCCAGAACTGCTTCAAGCCCCGCGAGTCCCACCTGCTCAACGACGAGGACCTCAACCAGGTGGGGGCCGACCCCAAAAGCCACGCTTTTCGCCCCAAAAAACCTGCCCCGCGCTGCTCGGTGCCCAACCGCCCCGCTTGGTTCTATGGGTTGGATCCCGCTGCGGGGTCCTTTAGGGTGGTGGGGGGGTCCTATGGGTGGTGGTGGGGTGCTATGGGTGATTTCGGGGTGGTGGTGGCACCCATGGGTGCCCCCCAGGTGGCCCCAGGCTCCCAGGGGTTCTGTAGGGTCCCCTCGGTGCTTCCCGGCCCCGTGGGTGCTGTGGGTTTATGCTGGCCCCACTGTTGGCAGAGGGACCCGTGGGTTCTCCGGGGGTCTCACGGGGTGCCCGCTGGCCCCGTGGATACTGTGGGGTCCCATGGGTGCTGCCCCTCCTCTTGGTTGTGGGTCCCATGGGACGCCTGCTGACCCCATGGGTAGCAATGGGGCCCACGGATCCCTGGTCCCATAGGGTGTCCGGGGGTCCCATAGGGTGCCCGCAGGCCCTATGCATACCTGGGGGGCACCCAGCACCCCACAGGCACCCTCTGGTCCCCCGTCCCACCCCAGTGCCCCCCTCCCTTTGGGGTCACAGGGTACTTGGGGGCGACCTCAGCCCCTATTGGGGTGCGGGGTGGGTGGCAGCAGGCAGGGGGGATCCTATGGGTGCTGTCGGGAGATGCCAAAAGTCCTGGGGAACAAAAACTCATCTAGAACCCAACCAGCCCCCCCGGGTGCCGTGGGCACGGCCCCCCGGCCCTATAGCACCCCATATTTCCCGGGGAGGGGAGCGGAAGGCGATCGCCGCCTGTTCCTGGGCAGGCTGGGGCGGGAATGGGCCTTCCTCCTCCTTCCCCTCCTCTTCCTCCTGCCAGGCCTCACGCAGCCCCCCCTCATGACCCCTTTCTGGCCCACCCAGCACCCAACACCACAAGGATTTGGGGTGCAGGGGGTGTTAGGGGGGGGACGACACCGCTCTCCCCCTTTTTTCCCCCCCCGGTGCGGAAAGGTGCCGGGATTTGGGGGGCTGCCATCGCCGCCGATCCTATTATGGCAATGAGATCAGACATATTGCTTGGGGTGTGTGTGTGGGGGGTGGGGGGGGGTGAGCGGGACATAATGAAATCTGAGGGCTAATATGGAAAAAATGTAACTGGAAAAAATGCCGTGGTGTGTGCGGGAAGGGGCGGGCGGGGAGCGTCGCCGCCGTGCCCAGACAAAGGAGACGGCCCGGAGGGTGCTGGGGATGAGCCCCCCCCCCAAAAAAAGGGTCCTGTTTGACCCCCTGGTGCTGCCCCGTGTAGGGTTTCGCCGCCTCTTGGATGCGATCATATTAAATATATTTATTTTTAGGGGGTCAAAGTGCTGGCTGTGTAGGGCCCGATGGCACCGGTGGTTTGAGGAGACCCCTCGGGGGCTTTGTTCCCCTGGGGGCTGACCCCTGGCAGCCCCCACAGGGACAGGACGGGGTCACCCCAAACCCCTACAGGCAGGATTGGGGCTTGGAGCTCTGCTTGTGGGGGGGAGAACACCTCGATCCCATACGGCTGCTCCCTCGCGGCCTCGGGGAAGCCTGCAGAGAAGATGGAGGCTCCGGCAGCGGGTGGTGCACGCACCCCCTCCCGCCCTGTCCTCCCTCCACCAGGACCCCCACTGACCCCCCGGGGGTGCACCCCTTGGGCTAACAGTTCGTTTCCCGGCCCCGAATCATCTTTTATTATCGTTATGGGGTTTTATTTATGTATTAAAAGAAGCCCGGTTTGGGGAGGGGGCGTCCCGTGCGGAGGGGCCGCGGTGGGGCTCGCCCGGAGCCGGGCTGGAAAAGTCCTTTTGAGTCATCTGACCTTTCCGCTTGGCTGGCAGGAAAGGTGAAGGTACTTGGCACTTACGCACTCGTGTCCCTTTTGGCTTTTTATCCTATAAAAATCCCTGCGGGGGTGTCTGGAGCCGCCCCTCCAGCTTCCTGGGTGCTCCGGGGCTCCGGGACCCGCTCCCCTTGTGCCAAGCGTCCCAAACGTTTGGTGGTGGCGCTGGTTTTGGGAACAGAACCGGGAGTGGGGCCGGGGGCGATCCGGCCCCAAACATTAGGATTAACGAGCTGCAGCTCCCTAATGGTAATCGGACTTAGCGCGTCCAACTTCAAAGGGCTGCGTGGATGCTAAGTCCCAAATCCCGGGAGCGCTCCGTTCACGAGTTGTTTTCGTGTGCTGCCGGGGGGTCAGCACGATTTGGGGTGGCTGCGTGCGGTCCTGGCACCTTCTGGGGTCCTATTTATTCCCTATTGGGGCTGTAGGTGACGCGTCCTTGGCCCCCAAACCTTATTCAAGCCTCTGGGGCGCCCTGGTGGCACGGAAAAAACTGGGTCAGGCGTTTCATCCGCTTCTTCCCCGGGGAATATTTGCTGCTGCGTGCGCCCCGCTGTGGGTGCTCGGTGCCCCGCCGATGCGTGGTGCTGCGGGCAGGATCCGGACCCTGCCCGGCCGGGACGTGGAGCATCAGCGGGGTTTGGGGTGCTGCTCAAGTGCCACCCATCGCCAGCTCCCCTTGTGCTGCCCCATAATTCCCTTTTGGTGGGAATTCCCTTTTTCCTGGCAGTTTGCGCCCAGACCCTTGTAACCTCCTGGCAACCCCATGTGTGGATTCTTCCTGGGACGGATGGTTTTTGGGGTTCCTGGTGACCTTTTTCCATCGCCAGTTGAGAGCCCGGCCCCGTCGATGGGAGCCCCAAGGAAAGCACCCGGGACTTGGCAGGGCTGTGGGGGGATGAATATAGGACCAGGCGTATGTGAGCGTCCCTGCATTTGGGTCGTAGGGAAAACGAAGCCCCCCCAAAACAGGAACAGGCTGGGAATTAACCTCCAAATTACGCCTGGCCTGAATTGGAAGAAGAGCAGGGCGTAAAGCAGTTGCTTTTAATTTTCTCCATGCGTGCGCTCTCTCGGGGCATGGGGACTGGCACAGATAGAGGAATTTGAGGACGCCTTCCCAGCTACCAGTGTCTTCTTTCTTTTCTTCTTTTTTTTTTTTTTGGGTTGTGAGATCATGGCACGGATGCCCGAAGGACCACCCAGTTAGAAAACTGGTGCTGCAGACTTTCCCACCGCCTCCTCCTGCCCTGGCCCGTGGTGCCCCGGCAGCGAATTTGGCTATTTCCATTTTCCTTTTGGACCTTATCCCTTTCCTCCCGTCCTAAATAGCCCCGAGGCTTTCAACTGGTGGTGTTGGGTGCAGCGGGTGAATCCCCGCTGCCGGCCACCTCGCCCCGAGCATCGTTCCTGTAGCTGAGCCCTTTGCCCCAGCACCCCGAGCTTTGCTCTGGGGCGTTGCATTGCCCTTAGGGCCACGGAGGATTAGGGCTCGCGTCCAGCCACGGCTGAAGCAGGAGGCTGGGGAGCTGCCTGTGGGATGTGCCGACCCTATAGCAGCTCTGCTTCGTGCCACGCAGCACCGCCGGCCTTAAAGAGAGTGGGAAACCAAAGGGGTTTTGGGGTGGTTTGCCCTGATGGGGTTGGGTTGGGGTCATATCCTGGTGCTGTAGGGGCAGCAGAGGTGAGGGGTTGTGTCCAGGGCACGCTCTTGCCTCCCCCTCCTGCTCCTTGGGGGAGGAGAAGCCCCCTCTTTCCTGGAAAGCAGCCCCCGCGCTTGCATTGCCGGCTGCTTGTATCATGCTGCAAAAATCCGCCGTTAATCGACTAATTATTAGGGCCAAACAGGGGGGAGATTCTCTGCAAATGTCAAACCCGCCTCCCCCGGCCGCTGCAGCAAGCAGGAATTCGGGACCGGGGGGACGCGCCCCGGTGTCCCTGGGTGGCTGCCCCTCGTGGGCCACATCCCGGCCTTGGGGAGCACTGTGCAAGCTGGGGAGGACTTGGGAAGGATATAGGGTTGGATTTAGGGCCGGCTTTGGGTGCTCTTGACCCCCTTTGTGGCCCTGGGGATGGACACGGCGGTGCCCAGCGCTGCTTGCGGCCCCTTCGCATGTTTCTGTGCTGCTGCGTGGCGCCGCACCTTATCTGCTCCGGCACCCGAGGAAGCGATAAATCCCCTCGCCGGCACTCTGGAGAGATGTTGTGGCTTCTCCAGGGCGCCGGGGGGGCTCTGTCGTGGGTGGGAGGTGGCTCCGAGCCTGCTCGCTGCGGGCACGCTGCGCTCTGGGAGCGGGATCGGGGCTCGCAGGACCCTTGCCTTCTCTCCTCTGCTCCTGTTTCGCTGCCCCTTGATAAATTATCCGTGCAAACTGCAATCAGCCTCCCCAAAATCTTGCTTCGACTGGGGTCAGGGCTCAGGGGTTGGCATGAAAGCCGAATTTGGCCTTTCCCTTCCTGCTCCTCCGGTCGGTCCCGCTGCCCACGCAGCTCTTTGCCCAGGCAGCGCCCGGCTTTGGGGTTAGCTCTGGGCAGCCCGGCCTGGTTTGGCCTCGTCCCGCATGGGTGGTTAAAGCCTGGCCCCGCTGATTTGCAGCTTCGGCCACGGGCGGGCTGTGCAGATGGGTTTTTTGTGGCAGAGGTGGCCGCAGGGTGCTGGCCCTGCTCGCCCAGGGCACGGCGAGCGTCGGGGTTTGGCCCCACGTCCCCTGCACGTCGCCAAGTGGCAAGTGGCAGAGGGGAAATACTGCAGGAACGAGGGAACCCAGATGTGAGCAGCTCCACTGCCGGGGCCGGGCTGCACCTTCCTGGCCCTCGGGGTGGTTGTTGGAGTGTGGATTGGGGTTGGAGCGTGGATTGGGGGCGCTGCTGGAGAGCGCTCGTGGGCTGGGGTCGCTGGCTGGGTGCTGCAGGGCTCTGCGGGCCGTGCTGGGAGCACGCCGAGCATGAAACGATCGCTGCCTGTTCCTAGAAGCTGTGCTCGGGAAGCCTGCTTGGTTTTCTGACCCCGTTCCCACCCCGAACACCTTCCCCATTCCTGCGGGGTGACGGCCGCCCCAGTGACGCTCTCCGGTGCTCAGAGGTGCGCAGAACCGAGAGCGGGGCTGAAACCGCCCGGATTTCCTCTTTCGAGGTTGCAGGCACGGTGCTGGCGGTGATATTTTCCTAGGGCTTTGCCAAAAAAACACGTCCCTGGTTCGGGAGGTGGCACGCAGGGGGTGCTGACCCTGGGAGCCGTGACCCAGAGGTGCACAGGGGAGCTGCAGGGGGGTTCCCCTTTGCTGAATATCGGGGCTAAGCCCCAAAAGCTGGCAGGATGTGAATTACCGTGAGCTCAAACACAGCCAGGGCCAGGCTGGGGCTGTTATTTTCTCGCAGAGCTGCTCAAAACCACGGGGCTGACCCCCAAGTGCAGGGCTCGGAGCGCTGAGCGTCGCGGGCAGAGGTTACAGCTCTCCAGCAAAGGTCCTTTTTTTATTATTATTATTATTTTTATTTTTTTTTATTTTCCCCTTCCCACTCAGTTGCCAAGCCTGAACAAAACAAGCCCTGCCTCCACCCGAGACAGGCTGATTACGTCTGCCGGCAGCCTAAACAGATTATCCCTCCCGCCACGCGCTCGGAGCCAGGAGGCTTCTCCCGGCGATGGGTTCGGGTTTCCCTCGATGCACCCCAGGGTGGGTCGGGACCGGCTGCCGGGACCCCATCCCCACCCTGCCCAGTGTCCCCACACCCTGATGGGCACCCGGGTGCTTTGCCATGGGGCTGGCCACAAAGGGAGGACTTGATTTTCGGTCCCCAGCTCACGGGGTTGCTTCTTCCTCCTGGAAGGTGGCTCCTGGCGTTTGGAGGAGATGATTTTTTGGGGGAAATTGTGTGGTTTTATGGGCTGAGGCTCACGGCACGCGTGCACGGGGCAGGGAGGAGCGAAGGCACCGCTGCAGGCACAAATCCAGCCAAAAGGCATGCTGGTTGGTGTCACAGCCCCCCTCTGGCCCCGTAACCCCCTGCTCCACGTGCTGGCCCGCTCCAACAACCCCTCCTGCCTGTTGGAAGCGGGTCACCTCGCCTCCTCCACCCCATTGCTGGGGGTCCCTGCGTCACCCCGCTCTTTGAGAGGCTCCGAGCAGCTCCCCGCGCCCATCAAACCCAAGCCCAGGCTGCTGGGAGCTGTGCCGGCGGGGCGAGAGGGGCGCCTGGGCAGCGTCAGCTTGACAGCCTGGTGTAAACCGAGCTGGGGCCGCTTCCTTCTCCGCTTCCGCTCCTCCTGCTCCTCCTCTGGCCCGGCGCACCTCTGGGTACGACCCGTGGATGGACAGACGGATGGACGGATGCAGTGGCAGGATGGTGACACCTGAGAGGAGGTGAGGGGGGCACTCGAAGCACCGTCCCTACCTGGGCACCTTGCCCAGGATCAGAGGAACCTGGGTGTTCCCCGGAGGTGCCACCAGGAGCTGCGCAGGGACAGCACCGCGGGGGTGCTGCGGGGCTCCGACCTGGCCGTGCACCCATCCCGGTGGTGCCCTTACACACACACACATCGCTTCTTTTCCAGGCTGCACGTTCCTCTCCAGGGCAGCTTCGGCACCTCCCGTGCCGGGTGGCGGCGGGCGTTTGGCTTCGTCACCGCGAGCCGTGCCGGAGGAACCGGCTCTCCTCTTCCTGCCCCACCCCAGGAGTGGATGCGCCGTGGTGCCGTCAGCGCCTGCCTTCTGCTCGGCTCCGTGCTGCGGCTCGCCGACCCGCTGGGTGCTGCTTTTTGGGGAGAGCAGAGCCCCCCTGGCACCCTGCGAGGCTGCTGCCTGCGGTAAAGCAGCCGGGAGCTCCCCATCCGACAGCCCTCCAGATCCAGGGGGGCATCCCGGGAATCCCAGCCTCCCTCTTCCATCTCTCGGCGCGAGGTCGGACGGATCAGCTTGGCCGGGAGAAGTTCTTGCTGCGAGTTGTGCTCGGTGCTGGGCGTTGTTTCCTCCTTTTCCTGAGCTCCGGAGGAAGCCGGAGGCTCCTGGCACGGCACCGCTCCCACGGCGGCATCGAGCAGGTTTATTCCAAGCCTCGCTCCGGCAGGGCAGGCTCCATGCAGGTGCGATGGGTTTATTTCAGGCTTTCTCTACTCGTTTCGGTCGTCTCCTTTTCATTTAGGCTCATCCCTCTCTGGGCATTGCCTTTTAGCAGTGGCTTGTGTTGGTTTGGCTTTAAAAAGCGCTGCCGAGCGCTCATCTGCGGGGAGACGGAACCGGGCTGCCCACGCCGGCTGCCTCTAATTCGTACCTTTCAGCTATTTTGGTTTCAATATCCGCAATTGGACGCTTCTGCTGGAATAAGTATAGTCCTCGGGTGCTTTTTTATCACGCCGGTAAAGAAACGACCGCGCTCTGCGTTAAGGTCGTGTATTTCAGGTGCTGGGCGCTTTGTACGCAGCCGGCTGAGCCAAAATTGGAGTGTTTTAAGGCAAAAATGATGCCTGCTGAGGGGCAGGTAGGGCAGGGCGGCAGGCCTGGGTGGAGGCTGCTTGCTGCTGGCCCTGGTGGCGGTGGTTTAGGATTGCTTCATCCCCGGTGTCAGGCGTGGGCGTGCTGGGGGTTCTGTGCCGTGTACGGGGTCTGGTACGGGGGTTTGTGCACGGGGCTGAGTTTTTTTGGGGTTTGGCTGTGCCCAGGGGCATGGAGAGAAAGGTTGGGACGAGGAGGAGGGCTGTGCCCTGGTGGTTTGGCTCCTGGTGGCATCGCCACCTCGGGTTCCTTGGCGTGGTGGCGCTGGGCGTCGGGGACGCCGCGTCCTGCCTCCGCTGTCATCCTCTTCCTCGTTCCCGACAGCGAAGGGCGCACGTGAAACCTCCCAAACCACCGGGGCTTGGCTCAGGGGCTCACCTCGGGTGCTTTCCGTGTAATTTGGAGACCCCTCACCCGTGCGCCCCGTTTCCACAAGAGTGGGGTCGCCTGGATTAATGTGGGATTTCACAATTCTGCTTCTCCCCGGGAGCGCAAGAGGCGTTGAGGAAAAGCCACTGCAAGCCCGGGCCGCGTGGGCGGACGCAGCCACAGCCCGGCACGCCGGGGAGCGGCCGTGACAGTCCCAGAGCCCCCGCTCCAAAGTCCTGGCGTGGGCACGGGCTCGGTGGCGTCACCGGCACCCCGGGGTGGGGACGCGCCGGGGGAGCGCCACACGGGGCTGGGGACCATGGGGACCGCGGGCGAGCAGGGCTCCGGCACCCAGGTGAGCAGGACGGGGGGCACTGGGGGTCCCCAGACCCCATTAGGGCTGGGGGTGGCGGTGCCATCGGGTGCTGCCCTGCACCAGCAAAGCCCCCCCTGGATTTTGGGGCCGCGGGACGGAGCAGGGAGCCTCTGCCAAAATTTGGACCCCCTCAAAAAGAGAGGGGGGAGGTGGCTCTGCTCAAACCGTGTTTTCCCAGCTGTCGGGAGAGCAGCACCTAAAGCCCATACGTCCCGCGGCGGAGGGGGGTGAGAGATTTTTGTTATTCCTTCCCGCTTTATAAACAGTAAAACGACTCCTCCGGTTCGCTTCCAGTTTGCTTACTCAGTGCTTCATGCGTTTGACAGTTTTTGGTGCATAGGCAGTTTTCTTCTATTGTTTGCAGGGATTTTTCCAGAGGGGAAACTTTTCTTTCTTTTCTTTTTTTTTTTTTTTTTTTAACATTACAAAACCACAGAAACTGGCAGGAGGAATCTAGGGGAGGTACGGAATTGGAAACAGTCTTAAGATTTCATGAGTAAAAAAAAAAAAGATTAACCAAGTCATTTCGAGGGGTGCTGGGAACACAAATTCCCTCTGCTTTGTGGATGGCCATGGACAGCCCATGGTGGAAAGCAGCATCCTCGGAGCCGGGGGGGGGCTCCTGAAACTGGACCTGCCCCGGGTTTCCTCCCTCCTGGCCTCTCCCCGGAGCCGGTGTGGCAATGCCGGGCTGCTCTTGCGCTAGGAATTGGCCCCAGCCCTTGCCAGGAATGGGGCTGGCTCAGGTCCCGGAGGAGGAGCGGTGCCCACGGGACGCTGCGGGGGCTGCCGTGCCCCCTCCCCGTGCCCGGTGCCCGTCCCCATCTCACCATCCCGTTGATCCGGGGGGGAACCACGGGCGCAGCATCCACACCAGCTCACGGATGGCTCCTCACCAAAACCACTGGTGGAAAGAGCCCTTTTTTTCCCCCCCCAGCTGATAAATGGCAGTGCTGTGCTGCATTTCTTTCCGGGTATTCTTTCCCTTTCTGCCTGTGGCTGAGCGAGCTGTGTTTTCCCCCCCCCCAGGCTCTGACCTTCCTGCCCGCTCGGCTGTCGGCCGGGTGGGGGGGGGGGGGCGTGCCGGGTCTGGCCGCGTGCTGGATCGCCGCCAGCACTGCTTGGTTTTTCCTCTGTTAATTAATAAAAGGAAAAGGGTGAGCTCTCCCTCGGAGCACGTGTGGGTTTTTAATTTTTCTGTGGGACAGGGGCACGCTGCAGATGGCCAGGAGAGCTGCGGGTGAGGACGGGCTCTGTGGCACGGCACTCGGTGCTCTGTGGCCAGGTTGCTGGTTGTGGTGTGGATTTTTGTCTTTGCAAACCTGCATCTCGGTCTCACACACACCACGAGTTGCCATCGAGCCTCCAAAAAGTCATCCTGGGCTGACTTTGCCCGTGGTCAGGAGCTGGAGCTCGTGAAGCCACCTCCTCCCCGGCCACATCTCTACGCAGGCTCCTGCGCTCCCCTCCCACGTGCCCCCCGGTGCCGATGCCCCCTGTGCAGGCTCCAGCTGACGCTTCTCTGCTGTTTCTTTGCAGGCCAAACCCATTTATGGTGGCTGGCTGCTGCTGGCCCCCGAAGGAACGGACTTTGACAACCCCGTCCATCGCTCCCGGGTAAGCACAGCTCCACGGGGTGGGTGCGGGCAGCCCCGGGGGTGACGCAGGCCCCTCTGTCACGTGCCAAAAAGGCTCTTGGTGCTGCTAGCCATAATAAAACCTCTTCCCTGTGTTGGGTTTTGACCTCAGCCCGGGTTGTGTGCCATTATTTGGAGTCACAGCTGGTGGCAGGCCTGTTTGTTGCACACCGTGGGGATGTGGGACTTTGTTTCCCCCCCTCCAGGAGCAGAGATCCTTGGCAGTTTTGCTTGTCCCCGAGCACCTTGGACTTTGCCCGACGGGCTGAGAAAAGCGAGATAAGAATTGCTGCACTGGGGCTATGAATCTGGGACCTTTCTTTTTTTTTTTATTATTATTATTATTTATTATTTCAGCCTGCTCAACCAGTTTCTGCTCTGGGCTGAAAACAGCCTGGCACACGCACAAAAAGGCAGATTTCCAGCCAGATCAGCTCTCCAATCTGGTGTGCCGTGCGGCTGCACAAACAGCGAGGCCAGGGATGGGGCTGCTGGGGGCGTTTGGCACAGCACCCTGCCCGCCGCTGGTCATTTTTCTGCACAATTAACCCAGGTGGCTTGGGGTCAGCCCCAGTGAAGGGAGAGGAGTGGGGTTACCAGGTGGGGAAACTGCCCCAAAACATCCTCTTCTTGGGTGCCCACAGAGCCAGGCAGCAAATGCGCAGTGAGCGATGCGCTCTGGCATGAGCAGAGCTCCGCACCCCAAATGTGTTGTGTGGGACACCATGGGGCTGAGCACAAACCCTGCTGCAATTCGTCACCTTTCAGGGCCCATCCCTGCATCTCTGGGGGCTCCTCTCTGCTTTTTTGGCAGCTGCTTCTCTTTGCAGCCCTGTGCTCGGAGGCACCGGGGTGCGTGCCCCGCTGTCACGCGTTCCCTTGGCTCTGGGGGGGGGATTTCGGTGCCTTTTTTCCATCTCTGCGGGTGGGAATAACCCTCCTCTCTGCCTTCTCTTGCAGAAATGGCAGCGCCGCTTCTTCATCCTCTACGAGCACGGGCTGCTGCGCTACGCCCTCGACGAGATGGTGAGTGCTGCCCCGCAAATCCGGGACATTGCTGGTGGCGGTGGCACTCCCGGTGTGTGGCACAGGGACGTCCCTGTTGTCCCCTGGAGCTTTGTGGCCAAGCCCAGACATTGCAGGGCGCTGGGAAAACTCGTTTTTGGTGTAAACCAGCAGTGGGAGCGTGCTGCTGGCAGATCTGGTGCAGGTGGGGGGTCATCTGGCTCACCGTGCTGTCCCCAGGGTGCCCCACGCCTCCTTCCCGTCCCATTCCTCGATGCTCGCTGGGGTTTGGTGGCGGAGAATCACCTCGGCTGTGTCTGGGAAGGAGACAGCGATGCCCGTGGAAAGTAGGTCAGCTGGCACACCTTCCCTGGGAGCAGCATCCCTGCGAAAAGAGAGGTTGGGGAAGGAAGGAAGGAGAGAAATTCTCCCATCTGTTGCAAGCCCCCAGCGGGATCAGCCCTGCCGTGCCCACCCTGGGCACCGTGGGGCACGGAGGGTGCGTGGAGCAGAGCGAGAGCCCTGCTCGTGTGTGTATTTGTTTGTTTGTAGTGTTTGCTGGGGTCGCTCCAAGTCCCGTGAATAATTTAAATGCCTCGGATGGGAGGCGTGGAGGCTCTCGGTAGGGTTTGAGCGTTGCAGCAACCTGGCCGCGCGCTGGGCCGGTGTTTCGGGTCGTGCTACCAAAGAAAGGCAGCGTGCAGCTGGCTGCTGTGGGGCAATGCCCTGATAACGAGGAGGAGGCGTGGAAGGGTGTTGGGAAATGTCATGTTTATGTTTTTTTTGTTTTGTTTTTTTTTTTTTTGCTGCTTTGCATCCCAGGGAGGGTGACCTGCCCCAGGCACCGCTGCTTTGGGGCAGGAGCAGGCAGGCAGCACCCCAGCCCCGTGCCCTGTCCTTTGGGTCTTGTGTCCACATACCCAGGGGGCACGCAGAGGGCTGGGGGAGCATCCTGCAGTCCTCTGACACCCCTTGGGCTGGCAGGGAAGGGAAAAAGTGGAAAAAAAACAACAAAAAAAAGCACGAGAGGAGCGTTACTTCTCCGTACAGAGATGCTCTTCTGCACCAGCCCGTGGCACGGTGCTGCTGCAGCCCACCAGGGCTCCCCACCTCCTCCACCACCAAGGAGGAGCAACGGGGCCGGGGCTTTGCACAGGATAATTCTGGCTTTTTGCACAGGGAGGGATCTGCCTTGCAGCCCTGTCACAGGGGCGATTTACTGGTGTGCTCCCCGGGGGTGCCCCTGGAAGCGGGGTGGGGGTCCCACGGAGGGGACGGCCGCCGCAGCGCACCGGGAGCCGGGCGGCAGCTGGCCGGAGACCTCCCAGGCAGCCGGGCGAGCGGATGGAATTGCTCTGCCCTGAACCTGTTAGACATTAATTTTTGCGGCTTTGGCAATTTCTGCTCTTATTAAAAGGCGGGGAGGAGGGGAGGAAGGCGTGGGATCGGGAGGGGAGCCCACGGGCTGGCGGCAGCGGCGGAGACGCCGGGCTGAGGTACCCACGGGCAGCCCCAGCCTCTTCTTCTTCCTCCCCCAGCCCCGAGCAGTGTGTTCATCAGCAAAGGGCACATCTGTTTGCAAGCTGGGGTCAGCAGCTAACGAGCTGCTGCCCTGAAAGCGGGCTGGGAGGGGACCAAGGGCCGTAGTTGGCAACGGGGCCGGAGCCAGGCCTCTGGGCACGGCGCTGCGGCGGTTCTCACGGCTCGCTGCCGGGCCGGTGGAAAACTCTGGGCACGGTCCAAGCGGCCGCAGCCTCCTCCTTGCCCCAGGAGCCCGAAATTCTGCCCGAATCCCATCGGTGGGACGGGGCGTGCGGGCGGGGAAGGCACCGAGTTTGGAAGCGGAGAGGTCTCCGGAGGAGCCTGGTTTGGCACCGCATTCCTCGGCTGAGCCGCTGGCCAGGCTGTTGGCTTTTTTTTTATTTATTTATTTTTTCCTTTTTTTCTTTTTTTCTTTTTTTCTTTTTTCCCTTTCATTTTACAGTTGGAAGCCACGCGCTGCTCTGTGCTGGTTTTATGACCGAGTGGTTGTAAGGCACCTGCAAAAAGCAGCCGGCCCCGAGCACCCCGCTCCCCACAGGGCTCCCGGGACCCCCAAGGGGGGGCGAAGCAGCGCGTAGTGTCCCCTTCCCCTCCACCCCAGCTCCCAGTGAGCAGGGAGCGTGCCAGCGGGGCTGTTCCCAGCTCTGCTGAGCCCTGGGTAAGCCGAGCCTGCTCAGACGTGCACAAATTCCTCGCTCCCAAACAAACGGCAGCAGATACGGAGGCCGCCCACCCCTCCTGCTGCCCTCCCTGCAGCTGCTGGGGGGCTCGGCCACCCGATTGCTCGGGGGTCCCGTGCCCGTGCTGAGCCACCAGTGTCACCCCTCGGCTTCCTGGTCCCGTTCTGTAGAGCTCCGTGTGGGATGGGTGCTGTAGAGGGGCTGATATTTCCCCCCCCCAGCAGCTGGTGGGTGATGAACCCACTCCCGTGTTGATTTTTGGGAAGGGAGAGGAGCACAGCAGTGCCACGAGCCGTCCCATCCTTCTTGCTCCCAGGAGATGCATTCCCCAATTTCCCCATTGTTAGATATTTCTCCATGGTTGGTTTGAGGCTTAGGCCTGGTTTAAAAAAAAAAAATAATAAAAAAATAAGCTAAGCCAGATGCATCCAGAGATTTGTTTCGGAGGTGGAACGGTCGCCCAGGAGGAGCTTAGACCTTTAGTGCTTTATCCTCTCTGGTTTCAGATATCCCAACGCCCTCAGCCCGCGGGGGAGCAGCCAGCTGGGAGGCATTGCCCTGCTGCTCGGGGACGAGGGGGGACCCGTGCCAGGATGGGGAGCAAATCCTCTCCCTGCAGCCCCATCCCAGCACGATTCTTCCAGCGGGGAGATGCCACTTTGTGCTGTGCAAGGGCTCAGCCCTCCTGGTAAAACACCCCATGGGCTCTGCACTGCTGCTTGCAGCAGGAGAGCAGCTCAGCACCGTGATGCTTGGGTGATTTGGGGAAGTTTTGGCTGAAGCAAGGGAGCTGCCACAAAAAGCGCCGGGGTAGGGGGACGGAGCCGGAGAGCGGACGGCATCCGGGCTGCGGGGTGGTGGCGAGCGCAGGGAGATCGTGGAGAGGTCGCCTCCTTTTGTTGTGCTTGCTGCTGCCTATAATTAGCTGCTGAGGTTATAAATAGAGCCCTGCTGCATGGGAACGCCGCGGATACTGTGGATGGGGCTTGTGGGGACCGGGAGCGCTCTCCTTTCCCCCCACCTGCCTGGGGATGGATCCTGCCCCATGGTTTTGGGTCAGAGGAAAAGGCCTGCACGGCCACGGGGATGCATCCTGGGCTCCTAACGCAGGAAATCGGCCTGTTTATGGTGGTGTGAGCCTAAATAGGATGGAGCCGATGTCTCTGCTCCATTGTGGGGTGGGCTGGGTGGTGGGGAAGGAGATGGGAGTGGGGAGGGGACGGTCAGGAGAGCGCCGGCACCGCCGGGTGGGTGCGTAAATGGAAGGAGAGGGGTCAGCTCGGAAGCAGGAGGTCTGGCACCACGCAGAGGGCTGCTGGGGTCACACCTGGAGCCCCACACGGCTCCCTGGCCCTTGAAGCCAGGATGGAGGGGCTGGGAATTGGTTAAAGGAGGAAAAACAGCGGCTGGCGGGGGATCCGAGCGAGGGAGGGATGCGCGCGCGTGGGTGCCGTGGTGCGGAGCCGCGTGTGGTTATTATTTCCCAATCGACCCCCCTCCAAATTCCTCGTCCTTCAGCAGAAAGGGGCAGATTTGAAGATTGTCACCCTCAGCAGATCTGCGCCGTGCTAATTCTCCTCGTGGCTCCCTCCTTTGTCATCTGCATTGTTGCAAGAAGCCAAGAATCTGCGTGTGTGTGTGTGTGTGTGTGTGTGTGTGTTTTCTTCTCCCCTCCTCTTTAGATCAAAGCAGTTTACTTCAGTCTTGGCACGGGATGCAAATTCATTGGCAGGGATTAAAAACGAACCTTAAACATCCTGGCTTCTCCATCCTTCCTTTTTTTTTTTTTTTTTCCACCCGTTTCGCCATTTAAGCGTTTCCAAACCCTCCCTGCCCCCTCCGCAGGGGCAGCGCGAGGCTTGGCGAGCCCGCGCTTCCCTCGCGCACGCAGCTTTTTCTCTCCCCCCCCCCCCCCTGCAGCCACGGTTTTGCTGCCGTCTTCTGCTCGCCAGATCTTGGGAGACTTTCAGTTTCTGTTTAGCATAAAAAGCTCTTGGCTCCAAGCGGGAGCGAGGTTCAGATTTCAAGCAAGCTGGAACAAAAAAAGGGCTGGAGCGGAGCAGCTGCGAGCTGGGCAGCGGCGGTGGGAAGAGCAGGGAAAAGGAAGGCGTTTGCCGGGGAAGGAAGATGCTCGGCGGGGAGGCTTTGCACGGGATGCCGAGTGCTTGTGTAAGAGCTGAGGCAGTAGGAAGAGGGAAGCGTTGGGAAATAACCAGGGGAGCAGCGATCTGTGCTCCTCCAGGGCTGCAGGGAAGGAGATCCCTGGTGCTGGGGTGTAAAGGAGAAAGGGAGAAAGCGCAGCCGTGCGTTGGCTCTGGGGGATGTGTCGAGATAATAAATGGTGGTGGTCCCCGACTGAGCTCAGGGGTCTTTGGAGAGCGTTGTGCTTCATTTTCAGGACTGCTTTTGGGGAAAAAAAAAACACGTGAACCCACCAGGAGCTCTGGGAACTCATTGCTTGGGGCATTGCTGAAGCTGAGCGATGGGACCGCTGCCAGAACCCCCGAAATTGGGGGGATTTCTGCAAGCTTTGGCAGTTGGAGCTGGCTGCTCCTGCTCACGTTTTCCCTGGTGTGAGTGGAGGAAGCTTCTCTCCGTGCCTGTGTCCTGGCCCTGCTCTTGGTGCCTGCAAAAGCCTCCTGGGAAGGGGTCCCGGAGCGAAAGGCCCTGGTGGGAGGTTTTGGGAGCGAACAGAAAGGACGAAACATGGAGCTGGGAGAGCGAGATACAGCCAGTGGCCTCCTAATTAGCGAGCAGCTTTGATGGCCTGGCCCAGGTGCTTCCTTCCTGAAAACAATG